GGCCAGCCGGTTCTGAAGTTTAATAGTGTTTGGCTCGATTCATCTCTCTTTGTGTGATACACTATTCTCTCCGTCGGATAATAATGTACTATGGATAATGATACAAAATTGTAGAATTGGTTAAGACTGCTACTGTACTGCATTTTCTGTAATATTCAGTCATCCGTACGTGTTGATGGTTCAGTAAAATATTGTGCGACCATTCGTAGTCGTCATTCTCGCATGCTCTTTGGCAAGTTGTCATTCTGTAGCTGTACCGGTAATGTATTTCTCCTTTGCTTTTTTATCCACCTGTATGTAGTCATCATGCTCTTAAGCAAGCTTTTGTGCCCCTGTTACGCTCTGCTTCTTCTCAATAGATTTATAATTTTTTTGGCTTGTTTGCCCAGGTTACGCATGTCTGGCAGTGTGGGTCCCACATGCAGTGTGCATCTGAATCTCTTGGGTCCATGCAATAAGATAGTGTTGGTGTGTGTCCGGCATCAACCAGGACACTGAAGTCCCCAGTCTGCTACCGAAGCATCTGCGGAACTTGGTACAGAGGTGGTGCTGTTTTCACTGCGTTCGGGATGGCCATTACAGTTTTATTTTTGCGGGGTGCCATTACAGTTACTGCACACAATGGAAACACAATTATAAAGGGCATGCCAACTGAAACTTAGGCACATCTACTGCACACAATGTTTGTAGCTGAAAACTCTGAAAATTAACTTGAGAACCGCGGGAGCAGGAGCCAGCAGCAACTCTCATATTTGGTGATGTTCCTGGTTTTTAGCTTGGTGATATACTGATGCGAGCAATAGAAGCACCATCTATTATCAACAAAGGGCAGTGCAGCAGCACCTCGTAAAGCCATTCAACAAGAGAGTGTTGGTGCCCAATCCATTACTCCCTCCGTTCTAAATTACCTGTCGCAAGTACATACTTGCGACTATCTAGATACATCCATACTTGCGACAAGTAATTTAGAACGGAGGGAGTATCTGCTACGGAAGCATCTGCAAAACATTGGTACAAATGCCTCGTTTCCTGCTGACGCTGCATGCATTCACTGAGTTCGATCAGGATGGGCCCAAATCCATCAGCGTCATCTTCATCCAGGAAACGGAGAGCGTCTCCTTGCGAGCATCACCAAGATAAGATGTATCACTGAAAAAAGGAGGACAATAATGAACCGAATGACACACAAGTGTTACAATTCGCATGTTAATTAGATTTCTCGGAACGGCAGTAGCCCATTGGAAAACAGCAGCAGTTGCAGGGCAGGGCAGGGCATGGCACGGTTCAACCTTTGGGCATTCAGAGAGACACAGCCTGATCATGTACAGAAAATAAAGAATAGCCTTGTGAATGAATTGACGAGGAGTAAGATCTCAGAGAGTTTCCCAGCAAGAAGACTGTTGCGTAAGCTAGAAATGCCTTCCGTTACCCAACGATGGCAAAAGGGGTACAATCAATGCAGAAAACTTTTGTTCATACTAAAATGCTTTTGAAACGAACTCAGAGTTTTTGTTTGACTCCACATGTTGTCAACTAATTACTGGTCAAATGTAAAGTACAACCCTTGAACATGACAATTGGCTTGCCGGATGAGCTGAACAGCCGCAACTCCCCTGTTCCTGGTTCTTGGCACCCTCCCACTTACCAGTCCACCCTCCCCTGTTCCCGAGCAAGGCGACCGGGGCGGTTCCCCACTCCCCCTCCCCGCGAGTCGCCCCCCTTCCCCCTCGCCGCTGCCGCCGGCGGGCGCGGCCGGGCGTTGCCCGCGCGGCACCCCGCAGTCCGGCGGTGGCGGCCCCCCTTCTTTCCCCGTCGCCGGACCCCGGCTCGGGCAAGTGGTCCTGGCGGCGGAGCCCTTCGGCTGGCGGCGTTCCGGCGCGGATCTGGACGGAGGCGGTGCGGAGGCGTTGCCCATTGGCGGCAGGGACGGCCCATGGCTGGCGGCGCCCGGCTGGCCCAGGTCTAGGCCCTACGGGCCCGGCCAGACACTTGGTCTGGTGTGCCTCTGCTGCTATGCCCGGTTTGCTACCGCCTAAGCCGATGGAGGTTGTTCCCTCCCTCGTGGTTGCGGTGCTGCCGGTCCTTGTCTACGGGTGTCTCGTTTGGATCCTGCCGGCATCGCTTCGTTGGCCGTGGTGAGACGATGACGGTGTCCTCGTGACTGTGTTTGCGCATGTTGGTGGGCGGCGGGTGTGGTGGAGCCGAAGGTTGGTCCTGGGTGGCGGGCGCGAGGGGTAGGGAGAAATCCATGTTGGGTCTTGCCGGCACCAACACGGTGACGCCTGTGGGCGCCGCCATCCTTCTTGAAGGGCGGCGGGTGTGGTGGAGCCGAAGGTTGGTCCTGGGTGGCGGGCGCGAGGGGTAGGGAGAAATCCATGTTGGGTCTTGCCGGCACCAACACGGTGACGCCTGTGGGCGCCGCCATCCTTCTTG